ATACAGGGTAAGTCAAAATGCAAAAGTATATTACTTCCTTGATAATTTTAAATAGAACACCCTGTATTTTAAGTCACTATCGAAAAGTACTAATATCGTACTTTACATTTTATGGAATACTCCCTATACCTAAAGTTATCAATTTTCTAGATAAGTATTAATTTGGTAGATATTTTAACTTTTACCAATAATTATTGGGAGTTGGCCATGATTGATTTGTCAGAAACTGACCGTTTGACATTATTGTTTTTTAATTCAGAAACGAGATAACGACACAGAAAAGAAAACAATTTGTTTCAAATAAAATTTATGAAAATAATCGACAGAAAATAAAAAAAAATAACAACACATAAAAAAAATAAAAAACAACTGTAATTTTAACTAATCATACTTAAGTAAGGTGTTCAAAATGACCTCCCAAAACATCTATGCATACTTGAAAGCGGTCATTGAAAAAGTTACTTACATTACTAAGCATTTGTAAATAAATATTTTGAAATGCAATTCGGACTCTATTTTTTATATCCCTTGTTGTTGAAGGTATTTTATATACTTCAATTCTTAATGTAACCCAAAAAAATGAGTCCACTTTATTGAATTCTGGTGAACTTGGGCCACCCTTAAGATCCATCTTTCACCAAACTGATTTTTAAGTTCACCACGTACTAATTCGTTGTGGTACGCAGAAGCACCTCCATGTAGAAACCACATTTGTTCACGTATATTAAGTGGAACCTCTTCTAATAATATCGGTAACTGATGTACGATAAAATCTAAATAAATCTTACCATTTACGTTATATTTAAACAAATATTTAAACCCCACACATTTAAAGATTATCTTGTTTGATATGTGTTACTATTTGGTATGGATTACTTGTTGAATAGTAGTGAAGTTATTTATGCCTATTAACAGAACCGTTTCAGTGGAATGCAGCTTCATCACCAAATATGATATAATCAAAAAAATCTCTGTTCATTAATTTTTTTTAAGGCCCATTCACAAAATACTATTCGTTTCTGAAAAATCATCATCATTTCATTCTTGGTACTTTTGAATGATGTATGGGTGCATCTTGTTTTTAGATAGGAATGTTTTGACAGAGTGAGTAACTTAGTTCTTGCTTATTGGAAATACTCTTATATACTTGTGAGGTGGTTTTCTGTAACTGCCATCAACACACTCATTCGTTTTCCTCTGTCACACTAGTTTTTTTTTTTTCGTTCATGTTTTTATAATTCACTGAACCAGTGCGGTTAAATCGATCTTTCAATTTTTCAAATGTTATCTTGTCTAGGTTTCCGCCTATCTGGATAACCGTTCATGATAAATTCTAGCTGATAGTAATGAATTTTTTATTGCATTCCTCCAATATCCAAGATCATATTAATCTATCATTTCCTCAGTAGTAAAATCCATTATTGCTAATTTAAATTGAAATAAATTATTGAATTGCTAATATAATTGTTGCTAATTTACGATGTACCCCAATACTGAATTAATAAACAATAATGTCAAACTGTCAGTTTCTGACAAATCAATCATGGTCAACTCACAATAATTATTGGTAAACGTTAAAATATCTAGAAAACTAATAACTTTATGTATAAGGAGTGTTCTATAAAATTTAAATTACGATATTAGTACTTTTCGATAGTGATATAAAATACAGGGTGTTCTATTTAAAATTACCAAGAAAATAATGTACTTGCATTTTGATCTTACCATGTACTTATTTGATTAAACGAATATTATGAAAACGAATATGTTTTATAATTTTTAACAATTATTAAAAAACTATGGTTGCAATAGATCAATGGACCTATACTCCTTTTTAATTATACAGGGAGTTAAACTTGATACGATTTTCAGGTAATATTGGTTATTAAACTTTCTAAATACCGGTATAACATAATAAAACTTTACATTGTTGTGATGTGGAAGTGAAGCAGATTTCAAATTCAAAATAAAATACAGGGTGTTTTATTTAAAAAAACATAAGTTCGGTCTGCCACCATCTTATTAGAACACCCTGTAAGATTGTAACTAATTTTAAAATGTCGAGTTTAAAGCTGTCTATAAGTTTTGTCAATAACTTTTTTTTGTAATTTTTACTAAAACAGATCTACTGAGCTTCCTCACCCTAATCAATCACCCAGAAGAGTTATCAGAAAAAATTTTCCAACCAAATTTTTCTACCAAGTTAAACAAAAACAAAATTTGATTAATTTTATTATTGTTCTGTATTCTGAGAAAGATTTCCGAAGTAGAAATCGAAATGTCAAAAATAAACTTATTATTAACTTAAATTGTGGCTTATTCCCCAAAATATAGGACATGACAAGTACTTCTGTTTTACATTCAAACTTAACTTAAAATACTACTAAAAAACTAAAAAAAATTGTTTTTAAACAAATTATGTGGTTTATTTGACAATTTTATTTATTAAAATAATGCATATTCGTAATGTACGCAAAAAGTACATACAAGTTCAAAAAAAAAAAAACGTTGAAATACATAAAAAAGGAACAGAGATACAGTTAATAGCGCCCTCCCCCTCCTTTCAGCTCCCGAGAGTTTCATTGCCGACGGATTTTACATACATTTTGAAACTTTGTGGAGGATTTCATTAAAGGGCAATAATTTTAAAATTTAGTAGTTTAAAACTATAATGTATATTCTTTCAAATAGCGCTAATTAGATTTCTTAATTGTTTATAAACAAAGGTGCTATGAATTAAATAAAAAAAGAGGCTAACTTTTGTACCAAATTATTTTAGGACAAACTTTTTTTTATTTAAATTTGTGAAAAAATTCGAGCTTTTTAAATATGTAAAAATAATATTTTTACAGTCAATGGTTAAAAAAGTTATTTTAATTGTTTATAAGCAAAAAATCGACATGTTTTTGCAAAATTATTTTGCAATATTTAAAATTAATTTTTCTTAATTTCTTTTTAATGTAAAATAATATAAAACAAGTCTTCTTCTACCAGAACTAACCTTACAATTTCTTAAACTATATAAATTTCTGATTATATTGTTGCAAAAAATGTTAATTTGGGATAAACAAATAAAATAAGTTTTAAACTATTAAACCGATTCACTTTGAAATTTTAACCCTATTTTTAAGCACTACAAGGACACATCATTCCATGAAATATAAATATTATGAGTTTATTTTCAAAAAAGTTATTAACATTTATAAAAAACCAAAATTTTTGACTTATTTTGCAACTTTCTAAGCAACAAATAAGGATAGGAACATTTTGAAAACGCCATTTTAAAGATTTTTATATAACTTATAAGTTTTCTCTCTTCTAAAATTTGTTTAAATTGCTTCACTTTTTGCTGATAGACGAAAAAAGCAAAAAATTTCTGTTTTTTGACCTTAATTTGTTAATAACTAATTTAAGTCCAAAAAAATCGCACTGCAGGAAACATATAGGTTTTTGTTACAGAGGTCCATACTACTCAAAAACAACTGTCGTCTGCCTGGCCGGACGAGTGTCATGAAAAAATGCTTATTTTCCCTGGGCTATAAAGTTTGTCTGTGAACACTTACATACCATATACTTTCTCAATTATTTTTTCTATTTCTACTGAAAAAAACATGGGTTAAAGTATTGGTATTAAAAAATACTATGTGGTGATTTCGTAATGTTTTCTATAATACCGAATAAAGTAATAAAATTAAGGAAAATAAACAAGTTTAACATGCTTTTTAAAAGAAATCTTCTATTTTATTTTGCGTTATCGTTTGACAACGATGTTTTGCAGCTATATATCTCCATCGTTCATTTGCAGAACGTCGTGAGTTTGCCTCATTCCATCGTTCGACGAAACGTAAAACAATCTAAAAAGAAGAAAATTTTATACAATGACAACAAAACTTAAGAACCTAGTCGTGTCCCTAACTAATTAGGCCTACTGTATAAAATTCTTATCCTTAAGGCATTGAAAATCTCGTCGTCGGTCTCATGCTGCCTGTTGTCTGTTGGGTCGTCATCTGATACGCTCAGGTTGTCTGGACGAAGAACCATATCAATGATGTCCTGGTTGATGAATTCACTTTTCTTTACCATTTTCTTCTTCAGGATCGTCAATCAAAATCCAATCAAAAAGTTAGTTCCAGCATTTTTAAAAAGTTAAAGACTTGATCTTGGCCCAGAACTCAGCACACCGATAAATAACATGTTTCATTGTTGAAGATTTGAGAATTTCGGGAACACTTTTGGATTATTTCATCTCCTGTAATAACAGATGTCTTAAGAATGCTCCTCTATAATGTCTCTTGTATATCTCTATTATGCTCCTCTATAATGTCTCTTGAATATCTCTATTACTGCCTGGTCTAACAGCTGAATTAAGCTCTTGACATTCGGTGGCAAAAATCTGACAATTATCACTATTGTGTAGATTTTGAGGATGAGTTGGCGCATTGTCAACAAGCAACAATGCTTTGATGGGAAGGTTTTTTTATTATTAAAAAGGATTTTACACTTGGAATGAATTTATTTTCGAACCATTCTGAAAATAAAGTGGTCGACATACATGAGCTTTTTTGGCTTCTATAAAAAAACTGGAAGTGTTCAAATATCTTTTAGAGCTCTCAGTTTTTTTTTTATTTCGCAACACACGTCGGCATCAATGGGTGAGTGAAATTAATGAAATAGTTTACGTTTTGCGATAAAAAATTTACTTTTTATTGACGAAATTATTGAAACTGTCAGCCGTTTCGGTTAAGCGATGTTTCGGTTACAAAGGTTTCGGTTATAGGAGGTTTTACTGTATCTACAAACAAAAAGAAAATGGTTTGAAACCCAACTAGCTTCATAAGTAACTGCAAAATAAATAACTTTTTATACTCCGTCCACAAATATCCCACTTCACGTTATAGTTTTATTTTAATTTAATCTGCGCTTTATTGACTTAACAACTTTACAGGTTAAGATTATTCATATTTTCTATTTAAAAAAAAAATGAAAAAGGTTTTCAAATTGGAAATCGAAACCTCAAAACAAATTTAATATGTAAATCTCATCATAATCTATTGTGATTAAATCACAAAAAAATTATTTAAAATATACTTATTAATATTTTTGTTAGAATATTAGAAAATATTGATAAGATAATAAACTGGTTGAACCTGATACTGTGCTGATACGATGCAACAAACATTTGCTTAGTAATCGGTGATCGGTGAAGTACATACCAGAGGTAAGAACGTCATTTCTAATTAATTTACACCGTAATTTTTATTTTGTAGCCCAAGCATACAAAAATAATTGTATTTTGAGTTAAAGTTTGGTATAATTTGTGTTGATAAATAATTTAATAATTAAATTAAACCTTGTAGTCTGATATTTTTGTGTATGTCCACAATAATAATGATATGATTTATTTACAATTTGTCTTGAGTTTAATACGTTTATTGCGTTTTCTCTAATGTTTTCTTGGGTAATTTTTTTAATAATTTTACAAGCAACCTTCGATCTTCTTCTTATTGCGCCGTCTCCTTTCGCAGGTTGGCGATCCAAATGGCAATTGTAGCTTAGGAATCAGCTACACGAAAGATTTCTGTGGATGAGCGGTCAAACCATGCATCTCCTCAGGTCTTTCAGCCACGAGTACTGCCGTCTTCCAACTGATCTTTTGCCCTACACTTTACCTTATAATATGAATTGGAGTAATTTATATCTTTCACCTCTTAACACATGACCCAAGTACAGATTGTATTTTTCTCTCTTTAATTATGCTGAGTAATTATTTTTGTTTACTCATGCGTCGAAGTACCTCACCATTGGTAACTTTTTGTATCCATGGAACTCTGAGCATCCGTCTGTATATATAAATTTCAAAGGCATCTATTCTTTTTTTCTTTTTCAGAGTCCATTGTCCAACTATCACAGTTATACAGCAACACAGAGAAAACGTTACACCTGATCATTCGAATTCTAAGCCTAAGATCATTTTTATTCTAGACTAAGGTCTGATCTTGTAAAAATGCTTTCATGTTCATGAGCGTTTTCCTAGCTTGTTCGATTCTTGACAGAATTTCTTTTTTTTTGGGTTACACTGCCTGTTAATATTTGCCCCAAATATTTTATGGAAGTTCTGTTCTATTATTTGTCCCTTGGCGCACAAATGTACGTTTGTTGGTATCCTTGAAAATACTAGAATTTTAGTTTTGGAGACATTTAGATGTAAACCGAATATTTCGCTATGACGAACTACCGCGTTTATTATATTTTGTAGTTTTTGTGCGTTGCATGTCTGATAGAAAATTTAATTCTAAACTATTTTAAATTTATCCATTGTTGTTCATAGATTTTTGCTTTAAAATTCCTTCTGTTGTCCATGACTTTTTCATCTGAAATATATTTAAACTTTGATTACAAACTATTATGGAAATTGTTATTTGAAATGAGGTTGAATGCTCGAATAAATAAACTTTGAAAAATAAGGCTATTATCGAGCACAAAGTTAATTAAATCTAGCCCAAGTACTTTCGCTTAAAATTAGCATCTTCAGGGGCATTTCGTCAAAATATAAACTATCTGGCAAGCGTATGAATGTGGAAACATTAATAATAACATAAAATTGTACAAAACACTACACTAAAACGAGGACAAACAGTTTTAAATTACTTGACAGATTCTACGCTACATTCTTTGTCAGTATCCCTCCAGATACTGACTCTCTCGTTTTTTAATCTCTCGATTTTTGAATTAAAATACATGATCATATTTGTTACAATTTTTTTCCTGGTTCAGTTGAATGTACCAATTAAGCTTGATATATAAAGGTCAAAGGGAATGTTGATTTTTATATTAAAAATTGAAATATCAGAAATGTCAAGTGCGCCATCATAGGCACATTCCTTCCTATGATGGCATGGCTGCACAGTATAATAGAAAAAAATATGTTTTAGTGGAATTTTCGCATTTCATTCAAAGAGAACAATAATAAAAACAAATAAAACAGTTACACACATTAAAATAATTAAGAACATAAATCACAATAAAATCTATCTATCTATCTAATTAGCCTTCTTCGGTACATCTTTGGACATAGGCCTCCCCAATCCTTTTCCATTCTTCTCTGTCTGTCGCTACGGTCATCCATCTAGAGCCCACGTGCTTCTTGATATCATCTGCCCATCTCATTTGGGGCCTTCCTCTGCTTCGTTTATATTCCCACGGTCTCCAACTTATAAAAATTTTGTTCCACAATAAAATATCTTTCATTTTTTATCGACCCCAGCGCATTCAGAGTGATACCAGGATTGGCACTCCTGACATTTAATCCAGCATGCTTTCAACATTGAGAGAGCATACAGGCCATTTTTTGCCATTCGGTATAATGATCGTCTTTCAGGAAAAGTGTCATCCACAGATTTCTGTTCTAATCCACTGTTGTATGTAGCTTTTCCTTTAGGTTCTATCTTCTGTTGTATTTGTCGTTTAACTTTTTTTGCCAGTTTTCTTCGTTCTACATTTTCTTTTTCAACAACCTTATCTTTCAATTCTTGAATTTCAGGGGTTGAATTTATTACCCCTGTTTTTCCACGCCTCTTTTGTTTTTTGTGTTTGACTGCGAAACACTTGGAACGGGTGATAAATCTTAGATTGTTATGTGAAGAGTATCCGGTTTGTATTTTTTAGAAGGACCCGTTGACAGTTTTTAGGTGGGTGATTTAGTCCACCTTCTAGGTTTTCTTCTAGATTATAATCTGGATTGTTTAAATGGATGTTTTGAGTTCGATCTTGATTGCTCTCTATAGGTTTATCTGTAACCAATGATGAAGCGAACATTAATTCCTCAAAAATATCAGGATTAAAAGGTTGAATCCCTGTTTTGGCAAAGGCATTTATGGCATTAGCAGGAGTAGCACTTTTAAAGTAAGCTGTTTTAAACAACCCAGCAACTTGAACGTGCATAACGAGTCTTCCAGGATTTTGTTTTAACCAATTTTGAATCTTTTGGTAATAACAGGTTTGTAAAGGACTAAAAAAGCCCACGTAGAGTGGCTGCACCCAGTGAGAACAGTGTGGCGGAAAGCAGAAAAGTACAATATCATTCTCTTTTGCAACTTGTAAGACTTTCAGTCCCTTATGACTACTGTGACCATCTAACAATAATAATATTTTGTTCTTATTCGAAGCTTTGGTATAGTGAATAAAATGTTTAATCCATTGAACAAAATGTCTGAAGACATATACCCTTTCTCCTAGCAAAAATCAACACTTCCCTGTGGGGCAGCGTCCATTAATTCATTTTTGAACCTTTTTCTAAGGAAAATACATGCAGGTGGTACAAAAGTACCAACTACATTCATTGAATATACAACTGTTGAATGCTGACCTCGTTCCGCACTACTCAATGCTCCAACTTGATTTCATCCCTTGGTTGCAAACACTTTTTGAGGCCTTGTTTAAACAGTACTGGGACCTGATTCATTAACGTTAAATATATTTTTGGATTGAAAATTGGATGTATCTAAAACGTTTGCTAAAGAGATAAAATATATATAAAAAAAAAACCCTCACCCACTTCCATCCAACAAGACGAGTAGTTTTGTTGAATTTGTGTTTGATGTTATTTCTCTTAGCAAGTTCGAAAGCTAATCGTCTCAAATTTAGCGTTGTAATACCAAAAAATCTTGTTTCCATATCAATCACATCAGTAGCTAACTATTGCTCAAGATGAAGAGGTAGTGTAATTCTTCGGCCACCCAAATCTCCTTTCCTTCCCACCTTTTTTATCCCATCTTTTTTCTTAGATGTGTTGAATTGCCATATTCATGTTCTCTTCCGACCACGCCTGCCTATGTTTCTTTGTAGACGCCATATTAACAAAGGCCCTGCAACAAAACAAAGCTTTTATATCTGATATCAGGAGATATTCGACTGTTTAAGGTATAACTAGATAACGACAATCCAATTTTTATAAGGATTATACTAACCTTTAAGGATATTTCACATATACACTTAAATTTACTATTGAAGATTTTGTGCGATTTGAAAGCTCCAAATTTGTTTAAAAAACCCTACAAAATGGTATTGTTTATCTACTTTTACCTTAATATAAGTAAAAAGTTGAGTTTTTGAAATTTTTTCAATTATGATGGCATACTGTGCCCTCATTGGAACATATCTGCTATGCCCTTATAGGCAAGTACGCATCAGATTTAAATCAGAGCATTATCTTCTAGCACCACAATGGCAGAAGTTTAATACTAATGATTAATACGAATCATTAATACTAATCATTAGTATTATTCATAATACTGAAGATTAATACTAATCAAAATTGCATACTTACTTTGAATATTTTAACTTCAGACGAGAAGCGGCCAAAAACTGTTTGTGTTAACGTGGGTTAAACACTCAACAAATCACACTTTCCGTTACAGACTTATCTGTGGAACTAATAAGTGTTTTGAACTTAACAGTTGCAAATATACACTGTAAATGCGCATGCCTATGTAGCCGATATCATTCGATAGAAAACGATTTACAAATTACACGTGGTATGTCATCAAAGCCAGCATGCCATCATAGGCATTCTTCTTCTTCTTCTTACGGTGCCTATCCGTTCCGGATGTTAGCGATCAACATGGCTATCCCAACTTTGCTTGCTGCTATTCTGAATAGTCCGGTTGTCGATGTATTAAATCACTTTCTCAGGTTTTGAAGCCAAGATATTCTTCTTCTCCCTGGTCCTCTCTTTCCAAATACTTTGCCCTGAAGAATGAGTTGCAACAAGCCGTATCTCTGTTCACTCCTCATAACCTGGCCAAGATATTCTAGTTTGCGCTCTTTGATGGTGTTAATAATCTCGCATTCCTTGCCTATTCTACGTAGGACCTCAACATTAGTCACACGATCCACCCATGAAATTCTTAAGATACGTCTTTAACACCACATCTCGAATGCCTCGAGTTTTCTTAAGGAAACTTCGGAAAGTGTCAGGCCTCTACTCCGTATAATAAGGTAGAAAATACATAGCATCTAATGAGAGAGATTTTGGTAGCAAGTGGTAAATCATGACTTCTGAAAAGAGACTTTATCGTTATGAACGCTGATCTCGCTTTTCCTATGCGTTGTTTTATTTCACTGGAGTGATCCCATTGGCTGTTCATGTTGGTACCAAGGTATGTGTAACTGTCCACTCTGTCAATTGGATGTTGGTTAACCAAAAGCTGTGTATTTAAT